TTTTGGTGGATTACCACCATAGATGTTTGGTTTTAAGCAGTTTCCTGAAAGGAAGTGCAGCACCATACACAGGACAGAACTTATGCAAGTGATGAAAATGCTTCTGTGCCTCAGCTGGTATTTTTGCCCCCATATTTGAAATTCCGCATTTGAATCAAACACAAACAATGTGAATCCCACCCTTGCATCCACCTTCAGATATCTGGAGTGGAGCCACCACCCAGGGTGCCACCACCCTTGCAGGGAGATGGGGACAGTCCGACCCATGTCAGACCTCTAAGGCGGCAGCAGCAGCAGCAGCAGTGCCCTGGGAGGACCTGCATCTCTCCATGGCCACCAGCCAGGAGCAGGCAAGACACAGGGACTAGGACTTCACCAGACAACCCCACACTGACCCCTCAAACTGACTTGCCGGGCAGGAGAGGCCCTTGAAATGCCTTTTAGCTACTTCTTTATGAAGGGAAGGAAAACTGCTCCAAGAAATAGGAGAATTCAGGATCTGAAGAAATACTCAATAATGTAATTCCACTAGCTTAATACTGGAAGAATAATGACAAAAAGCAAACAAAAGCCACTTGCCCTGCTGCACCATGGTACTCCCAAAAGGTCAGCAGCAGGGCAAAGGAGCTTGCTGTAGGGAAGCTCTTCTGACAAAAGGCAACGTGGTTTTGAAAACTCCAGGGAATGGGCCTTCCCTCTTTTCCCTGTAGATGTCTGGCCTGACAAATGATTTCAGAGTTTGAGTTCCCTTTTTGTCTCCAAGGAAGGGAGAACGTTTTATAGAGTACATGGGGAGGAGCTGAAGGAGCAAGACTGTATAGGGATGCCAAAGCAAAAAATTAACAACTCTTGTGGGTGAGCAAAGGGCCAGGTGTGTGTGGAAATTAGCCTGGTGCAAGCTATGGTGGGAAGTTAAATTGTTACAGATCTTCTAGGACAGGAGTGTTTTTGCCTTTTTTTTTTTTTTTAATATTGATATGCAAGACTTTAAACTCCACCAAAAAAAAAAAAAAAAAAAAAAAAAAAAAAAAAAAAAAAAAAAAAAAAAAAAAAAAGACTAATTACACAATATCTATGGAAAAGGAGCAAGACGCTAACTGTGGGGCAATTAGGCTGGGAGAACGAGAAGGATCTGCACTGCCAGAACTATGTCTGGGTTACTGTCAGTGGTCTTGAAGCTCCATGAAGTTCCTATTACTGAAAACAACTCCCTAGAGGATTTGTGTTGCTGTCTTCCTTTCCCAAGCCAGAGAAGCAGGCTCAGTTAGTCTTGACGTCTTTCAGACTAACCAAATAACCCAAAGGCCTAATGAGAACCTCTCACTCTACTGACCAACACAGCACATCTGCAGTAACTTTGCATTTGAGCAGCCTCCCAGTGGCATGAAGCACAGCAGGACAAGAGGAGGCTCAGAAAGGCTCAGTGCTTTAGCACATAACATGTTTTTAATATTCTGTCATACAAGACAATACAGGTCTGAGGTCAAACTTCCAGTGTGCCTGGTGAATTTACAGGCCCGTTGAAAGTACTGCAACTCGTTTCTGAAAGCTGTAGGCTCTGCAAGCAGTTTCCATAAACACAGCCCTGCCACAAGCAGTTTTCTCTGAGTGCTGCAAGACAGCTGAGGTGTCTGTTTTGCTTATCAGGATGCCTAACAGAAAAGACATATTTTATGGCAAAGTATGAGACTTAAATTTTGAGTGTATGCTAGTGAAGTCAACCTACAGTAACAAGTCCTTAAGTAGTCTCCAGGGGAACAACCCCCCTGGCAACTGATTTTTTCCGGCATATAGGTTCAACTGTTCATACAGTCTTCCAAGCAAAACTCCCCTCCCTCCTCCACTCTCCACGTGTTTCCCCTCGTGCAGGCTGCTTGTCATATGGAGTCCTCCTAGCAAACAGGAGCAGGATTTTGTAATAACCAGCTGGTAGAAAGAAGGAAAGTACATCATGTTACTGGGCTGTCAGAGCTGCAAGGCTCCCTGTTTAAATCAGCCGTTAAAGACCGCAGTGTTAAACGGCATATTGAACATCTGCTTGCTGCTAAAAATCGGCTTTTTACAAGACAATCTTGGACTTTTCTGGATGTACCGTAATTTTGATGTTTGTTCTTCATAATGAGGGCAAAGACTGAGCAGCCCCATCTTACTGGGGACAATTATAAACTCTGAGCAAGACAGATGCCAAGACCATCTGCTTCAAGACAGCCAGCCTCCTTACCAGCAAGATGCACGAGGATATGTGGGACATTTCCCCCTCTCATATATGAAAAAAGTCCAAGAAAAGAGCTGGCTAAAGGCCAAAAGAACTATCAAGTTTCCCTGGCAGAACTCTAAGAATGATGGAGGTAGTTGCCTGATCTTTAAGACTTCCACTGTAATCAGTATTAATAAAAGCAGCAACATACTGGCATGTCATTTCTGAAAGTTACAGATGCATGACCCAGGGGAACAAAATCATGATGCTGCAACGACAGCCCTGCACTGCAGCTTGCCTGTATTCCTTCCTGGCAGTGCAACACACTTGTCTGCAGCCCTCCCAAGATGCTCTTTTCGGCATGAATCACTATGTTGCATTCTCCATCTAATGTCAGAGGAGAATAAACTGGGGGAACTCAAAATGCATGCTTTCCTTTTCTCCCAACACTGCCTTTTCCCTGGCTCTGTCTGCTCAAGGGCCAGGTTCAGCCTAGACTTGCTCTGACCAACACTTAGAGCAATTTCGGGTGAAACACGAAGTGAGGAATAGAAGAGAAGGACATGATTTGAGTTGATTAGTCCAGAAAGAAATCTCTTCCCATGTGACTGCTGGAAAGTCAAGTCTAGACTTGCACCACACTGACACACCGTCTATCCCTGTGCACAGCAAACTAGCTGACAACACAAGCTTTGCAGTTTGCAACTCTCAAGCTGACAAGAGGGAATTATCCTCATAAAAATTCCCCCTGCAGGCTTCAATGCAGATGTGAGAAATTCCACAAAAGATTAACGAAGTGACCAACTGTGAGGGACAAAGGATTTTATCTGAAAGTTTCTAGGGGAATGCCAATTCTGGCCTTGCTGCAAACATTTAATCCCAATTCATCAATTCCAACAGAATTGATTGAAACATTTCTCATTTTTTTCCTCCAAAGACAACACCCAATATATTACTGCAAGTTTATACACTTATTTTTATACTTTGCATATACATATTTTTAAATATGTATCTCAAGTTGCTGGAAACCATGACAGTGATACATGGAAAAACACAGCACAAGTGACAGAGCCGAGCATTTTGTGTATTATGATTTAAATGCTTTTAAGGCATTTGGGAAAGGTGTTTCTGATGTGAAAGCTGATATGTGTTCCTGTGAGAAGTTTATCTATTTGCTCCATTCCTCCTCTCCTCCCTATTTCCCTGTACATATTCACAGTCAATGGTCAGGGCACACTGTATCTGCCCCAAATTATTTCAGCCCCCTTTCTTGAAGCAGGACCTGGGCCATAGCATACACCAGAGCTCAACTCTCAGCTCAGGAATCAAACCTTCCCTATAAAAAGCACCCTGTTGGAAATCCACCCCCTGTGAGACAGCAGCAGCTCTTTCCCACCCACACCCTGAAGAGCAGAGAAACAGGAACAGAATCTTCTCTCCCTGCAAAGGAGATCAGTCATCAGGACATGCTGGACCAGCTCTTCCCTCTCTCTCTCCAGGCTCTACCATTTCCTATCTCAGTACTCGCATGGGTGCAAGGCTGGGCAAGGCCCAGTTACCACCCATATCCACTGCTTGTGAAAACAGTGTGTGGAGTTTTGCAGGCACACAAGGCTACTGAGATGGGAGAGTAAACAGAAACGTGTAAACTTGGTGCAGTTACCCACCAGCACGAACTGACACTGGATCGACTCTCGAGCTCAGCTTTAGAGTTGGTCTAAAAATGCCAAAGCTCCATGTTCACTCACAAGGGCCTACCTCGTGTAAGTACTCTGTGAAAGACCAGAATTGTCTTGCAACCAAATAACCCAAAACCCACAAAACAACCGATCCATTTCCTTCCATCTAGACCATCTGGGATTCTTTGCCTCAGCTTCTCTCCTGCTGTCAATTAAGACAATTACTCCTTTGCTGTTGGTGATAATGGATGAGCAGTGATTGGATTTACAGTAAACAATATAGTATAATTCAAACCTGTAATTAAAAGACCGATCAAAGGGATAAGATTTGCTACGTGTTTTTACTTCCATTATGAGCTCAAAAACAGAGGAGACTAGGAACTGAAAATATTTTTTTCTCCTGTTACCAGCTTGCATTAGTTCTGAATGAACACTGCTAGAGAGTGAGTTTATCTGGTACAACTGCAAATTAAAATACCTAATGATAGAAAATATTTTATATGGACACTGCAAGATGGAAAAAATGAATAAAAATAAGCAGACTTTTTATAAAAAGATTTATTAAAAATAAGTTCTTTTGAGAGAAAAAGTGTGACATGTACATACATTAAATTGTCAAAACGTTCATGGGGCTTATAATACAAGCTATTCCAAACTGAACAAGAGACATTAACTTTTTTTTTTTTTTTAAATATGTCATGCTTATCGGAACAAAAGCAGCATATGGGGAACAAAAACCAAACACATAGCACCCCACCATTACGAGCGAAATCTTGAAAATGAGGACTACTGGCAAAGGTGAAAGTCGGTCATCATCATGATTCTACAGAAAGAAACTATGTATGAATGCAGTCTTCAGTTGCTAGAGTTTACCTGACACGTGATAGCTTCCAATTAGTTCTTCATTTCTACTCTGAATTAACAAATCTCAGTAAGTGGGTCTGTGCTTTATAAAGGCAGAAGTATTTTGGTGACAACAAAATAACACCTAAAACCAGGTAAACAAACACATCTTTTCCAGCTCTCGCAGTAGGTACCAAAGGTTTCTTTTTTTGGAAGAAAATTAACAATTGCTGGTTTTCTCCTTTGCCTCCTCACATCTCTGACAGCCAGAACCACAAAAATAGTTTTTCTTAAAATTACTTTATTTTACAAGAATGTTTTTCACAAGCAGTGACAGGACAAACTAACATGTGATTCTGCATGCTTCAGATGACCTCAGCTCCTCATACCCAGATGCCATATTTAGAACTATATCCTTTCAGTTGACCCTTCTGAAGATTTCTTGGATTTTAGTGCATATATACAGCGAGCTGAGAACTGCAGTATTACACACATCTACCCACCCTTACAGCAGAATTCACTCTAATCTCAGATGTGTGCAGGACTTGCATCTTAAGGTCTCTGTAGTCTCCTCTTTAGTCCCATAGTTTAATGAGACCATCCCAGCCGCACGTAATGACTTTAGATGTTTCATGTGGATGCCACACTGCACCAATACAGACTTTATCATGTGCTTTTAATCTGCTGTAGAGTTTTGTTGTCTTCCAGTCCCAGATGTTTAGTTTTCCATCTGCATCTCCAGATATCACATAGCTATATTAACAGAATTAAAATAAAAGTTGTATCATGTGCCAAGACTGCTTGTATTATAACACTGTTACAGCAAGCAACAGAAAGGAGCTTCCCCCAGTGAGCTTCCTGTCTGACAGGCTGCAAACAAACCTACCAGAAAATTAGCATTCACGCTGCGCTCTAGAGCGCACAAGTCCTGCAGAAGGTGATTCATCAACTGTGAGGTAAATGTGCTAAGCAATGCGATTATACCATACACTGTGTGACTGGAACCAAAGAGAATGCATCAGCAGAAGAGAAAGTGCCAGAAGTTCCTCTAAAATTTATACACACTTTTCCCTCCAGTTTTGCTGAGGTTATTCTCCAGTTTTTACAGTAACTGATGTCTTATGTGCATATGGCACTAAGTGTATGGGCATGTTACTAAGCCAACAGGAAGAAAGGGGTGGTTGTCTGAACAACTAACGAGGATACCCACACCAGACCTAGAAACTGGGAAAACAGGTACTCTAGACAATGCTGTGGGAACAGACCCTGTGCTGCAGACCATGTGCAATAAGGAGCCAGATGTGAGTCCGATGTGGAAGCCTCCTATGCTGCGCCAGGATGAGGCAAAACGAGGGGAGTCTCCGGATGGTTTAATAGTAATGTAGATCATCTTTGGGGAATAGGGGATCTGGACTACCCAGACTGTTTTCTAAATGTTCTTCAGAGCAATCCCCAAGTATAACTTAGTGCTATCATATGCTAAGAGTAAACTTTCTGTTCTACTGCTTGGCTAAGGAACTCTGATTGCTGAGCTGATACATACGTGAATGTTGCAGAGGATTCAAAAAGAAATTTAGTGTCTGTACCTGCGAGTTTTAAGGTGAAGTTCATTTCCAGGAAAACTTACCTCATATCAGGTGAAAAATCCACTTGACAGGCGTAGCCAGCTACCATGTGACCTTTGAAAATTTTCTTTTTGTTTAATCTGAATCTGTTCTGAGCTCCAAAAATCAGAATTTGGTTATCCATTGACTGGCAAGCCAACCACTTCCCTATAAATTCAATAAGAAAAGGTGGTATAAGGGTGCTGCATCTGAAGAAAGAGATTTAACTAGAAAGTTTTAAGAGATTTCCATGGTTTTTCTTGCACAATCTTAATCCAGATTTTCATTGTGTAACAGCTGACATTGCTTCTGCCTGGTACAACTGGCAAGAGCCAAAATCTTACATTTGACAAGATTTGGGATGCCTATTCCTACAAAATGCGCTCGGGACTCTAGCAAAGCTCTGGCTGTTACAACAAAGTGCTGCACCAGCCCCGCTGCCATACTCTTAAGCTTTTCAGCTATGGAGTAAGCCTGCTGGTGCATACACTCAGGTAGCTCGGATCAGGGGGAAAACCCCCCATCTAGCTGCAATCTATTTCAGCACCTGTTTTGTGGGTACTCTAAGACAGTCATCTCTTATTTTCTTTATGGAAAAAACAAGCCTAAGGTAGACTCAGGAGTCTGAAAATACTTATATTTTTGCAACTATTTAGTATTCACTGCTTTAATAGAATGCAATAATAAAGATATTTTAGTAAAAGAAAACATGAAGGCTTTTCTAATCTTAACTCTATCTCATTTTCCATCTTGGCAGTGCATTAACTCCTGCCTGAGAATCCAATGAAGATGATATGCTGCAGAACACCCTAGAATAGAGACTTCTTGTCCTGAACTCTGCATGTTGTCACTGCCTTTATGATGTTTTACCTGAACACTGATAACATAAAATGTGCTGACTGTACACCTGATCACTCTTCCTGCTACTAGTTTGGAATTTGAGGATTGTCTTCAGCCTCCCAAGGAAACAAATGAAGTGTGTACCCCAAGCATGTTACTCTCCTCTTCTACTTTTAAAAAGGTCTGTTTCCTAAGTTGCTCAGAAGAAATTGGAGTAGAGCAAGTTGTGCAATTTCAAAACCGGGTTGAAAAAGGCCAGCTTAGGAAGCTAACATTTTCAAATGCAGCTACCTCTTTCTCCAGAATCTTCCTTTTAATATTAGGAACTCACTTAGTTTGTTAAGAATAAAACATTTACACTGCAAAGCAAATACAATTTGATGCTGATAGCAGGCTGGAAACGTCAGCAGTGCAACAAGCTGACCAACCACTACTCAGCATAATGGGACTGTTAACTGCAAATCTGGCAACACTTTAATAATGCTGACATTAAAGCTATTTAAATTTGGCCAAAACAAATAACAGAGATTTGTCCTGTAAGAAGGCTTTTCAGTGATTACTTGAGCCCCTAAACCTTTCTCCTCCTTCAGTATGATTCTAGTTGAAGAACATAAACCAGTGAAACATTAACATAAAGAAACACTGAGATAAGCTGGGATTTCTCTTACGCCAGAGTTATTTGGTCTATATTCAGAACAGAAAGGAACGGGATCATGTACAACATCAGTTTCTCCTATAACAGTGGCACCACAAGGACTACTGAACTTGTTTAGTACTTTGCCACTATTGTCAGTTCTCACCATTGTTTCTCTTCATATTTCAAATACAGCAAAGAGCACATGGCAGCTCTATGAAAGGAGAGTCCTTTTGCCCTGTCTGGATGAAGATCTAATTTTAAATGGATAGTTACCCTGATATAAACACTCATTTTGACATACGTGTTTTTCTTAAGACTTTTAAATCAAAACCAGATCCAGTCCAATCACACAGTGATTGGCAAGGGGAGTAGTATAGGTGAGAGCGGGATGCAACGCAGCAATATTACAGAGATATAATCAGTAACACATGCCTTAGTAAATTAGGGCTAAGAAGGCAGTAAAGTGTTAACCTACCATTTGGAGACAAAGTCACAGCTGGCATGGAATGCATGCTTGGTTCAGCAATGTACTTGAAGTCTACAGGAATGTCCCTGCAAAAGGAAGAAGTATGTGCTTTATGAAGACATGGAGATCATCCAAAGAGCTGCCTCCAGTCAGCTGATTTACTTAGTGACTGAACCCTAGAGAACATACCATGGTGTCCAAGGAAGAATATGCAAAAGATCAAAAATATTACGGATGTCCACCTAGAGAGCTCCAGCCACACCATAACCTCCGATAACGTGAATTTACCCCCACCAAATGACCCAGAATCTAATGCAGAATCGTAATTCCAATTGTTCAGAATAAAACTGTAACACCACGATCCTTTACTGCCTCCATTATAATTGCAGCTCATACAGAATTCTTATATAAGTAGCAAGAACAGACTGATATATATATATATATGTGTGTATATCTTACTGGAATATTTTACTGACTTTTAACTGGAATATTTCTGCCTTTTTTTCCCCTTTTTCTTTGAAAGGAAAAGAAAACAGGAGACTCTCTCATCTCTCTGACAATACCCTTTTCCTCCTAATCTCCCCAAATGGGATGCCAACCAATTCCAAATGTTCACAGCTGAACAGAATGGAGAAGTCCCCGGGCTCAATCGCATACAGGACTGTGCCAGTGTATGATAAGAACAGACACTGTCCTGTGCAGAGGCCTAGGGAAAAAACAAGTACAGTCTGATCCTTGCTCTAAAGAACTGTCTTTTGGTTTTTACTACATAAATTGAATTACTAACGGTTTGTGCATATTCACAGTATTCCTCATATCCTACACTAGAAGACTGGCAAAGGGGGAAGGCATGCGCATGGCTTTCTCATTAAGCAAAAGAAACCTCCAGCAGAAAATAGATTCGATTAATGCATTCAGCAGAAAACAACATGCAAAATGTTCTGTAGCAACATTAATTAATACAAAGGGGATGGTTATGACTTCATTGTCTAACTCACATGGCAGAAGGGAGCAGGGAGCGTGGGTGGCTGCCTCGTACGAGCTGCCTGAGCCTTGCTGAATGGCAACACGGTCGACATTAGCAAGGTAATTACAATCCTGTTTTATTGTGGAGTAGGTTTTTTCCCCATCATCTTGCAATAAACAGCATGAACATGGGCAGCAGGGTGAGAAGCTGCTCTGCTGTCAAGAAGTGACACAAATGCTCCTGTGTGTTAAATGTTAAAATCATTTACCCCTCAGCATAAGAAGGGCAACCCACTTAATACACTCCATGGATAAAAGCATGTGCTCTAGGCCAGGGATAACTGGCTTCCAAACAGGCAGACCTAAGACTACTGTTGGGCAGCAAACAAGTAAAGAAGTAACAAAAAGTTCACATAACCTCTTAGGCTGACTAACAGAACAGCACAACAGCACAGGAAGTGCCACACCCCACATCCTACTCAAACAATTTCAAACCCCACTTGCAACAGGACACAAGGTTATTGCTGCAGTAAGGCCAGGTCCTGATCAGCTCCCACCATCCAAAACTCCTGCAGACCACCAGTCATCTGAAGTCCTCAGTGCCAGGTAAAACCAATCCCACTGAAAGCCCTATTAAGCAAAGTTTCGTCCCAGAAGATTCATCTCCAATGCTGAATTGTACTGCAGTCAGAAATTTAAATGCAGCACAGGTTGCTCTGCCTTTCTTCTCCACACCAGGTCTGCTTTATGTTGATACCTACCAGACACACTTAGGACAGCTGCAGGATATGCTGCATTAAAACTATTAGGCAGAATAAAGAGATACATTTATGTCTCACATTTACTTCCAAATTGCTAAATAAGTATTACCAGCCTGCTCCCTTAAAAAAATGTTAAAAAAAATTACCAAGACAAATGCTATCATGGTTGCCCAACCTCAAATCTCATGTGATATACTGTTTGGTGAAGTTTTAAAATTTAAATATTTTCAAGTTCTTTCCCCACTTCATAGCATTTCAAAGGCTGAAAAGTTTCAAATACCAAAAGTGGTATCTGCTGGCCAAGATTTAGTGTGTTATATTGGGGGGTCCTGATACAACCTTTTCCTTAAGCAAGATAGAGAAAAATCTTTTTAACAAAAGAAGGAAAACAGCCAAACCAACCGAACCCTCCAAGTCCAACCCAATCCAGTTTTGGGATCCACATGTCATGAAGAGCTCTCTCAGGAGACTACAGTATCTTTACCAGCAATGATGAACAGAAGAGGCCTTGCTGAGGGGCACAGCTTTATAGAGGTGACAAGCCTCCAAGCCTGTCAGCACAATAGCTGTTACCACTGCACAGTTCTTGCTTTGCTGGTTGACTTGGAGGTAAAAGGAAATAAAAGCCTCCAAGGTCAAATGCCCAAATCACTGTTTATCCAAGTAGGATCAGACACATAATGAAGCAAAGACAAATAACACTTTGCATTTCTAGAAAAGAGAACACAGAATCCATACACACATATCCACGCCAACTTTAATATCTAATCACATGAAATGCAAAGCTAGGCAAATTTTCAAGTACTCCCATTGATATTCCTAAACAAACCACTTAGTCTGCAAGGAACTGTGCTGTACTTACAGTTTGAACTTTAGGCAACCAACTACCTGCAATTCAGTGCACAGCACAGTGAAATCTATGCATGGGATGAACTCCTGGGAAAAGGAGATTTAAATTCTCAGAAGATCCTCACTGTGATGAAGTCAAGACATACCATCCCTTTACCAGCTCTGGCCAAGTCAAAGTGTTTATAAAACACACTACAAAATTCCTCTAGACAATTAAAACTAAGCAATTAGATCAGCTTTTAATTACTGGCTTTTAAGGCCATCCTCAGGTCGTAATTACTTCCACTTTGTCTCTGTAGGATACTGAAGAAATATTGTGCTGAAGAACATATGAAGAATAGTACTAGTAAGTGCAGTAACCAAATCACCCAAAGCAGCAGATAATTTTCCTTATGAACTTAGGAAAAAAGGTTTTGAGAAAGAATTTGCCATGGAAGTTTTCAAGCTCCAGAAGCTTTCTTAGTGAATGTATTAACTTAGTTATAAGGCATTTCAAAAATCTGGATCTTGAAATTATAGAAATATGCCTACAGACCAATTAACACAGAACACGGTAGGTTGTAGGGAAAGGTTTTCAAGTCATGCTCAGAAAGATGGCATTACATTTGCTCTTTATAAAACAAAAATGCCCAACAACTGCACTACAGAATACTGCCTTACAGTTGAGTTCCCTGTTATTTCAACAAGGGAGCTCTTTCTTCAGTGTACCAGAAGCTCAGCACATATTTTTTCTTCAGAAGAAAAAATCTTCTGCTACTGGAACAATCAGGTTGCGATGTTCCCATGCCAGAACCTTTCTGCCTTTCCTGCTCTTCCCCACAGTGACTAAATCCACCCACTTCACTATTTATTTCAGCCATCAACACAAAGCTCACAGAACAAGGGCAATCCAATCTTAAGGAAATAACACATTTGTGCAAGCGAGATCATCCTCCCACTCACCAGAGAGAAGACATTCCTTAGCAGACATGGTATTGTAAAGATTTTTCTTTAAGGAGCTCAGTAAATGCATGGGTCTGTCTAGGAAGTACTGAACAGAGGCTCTCTCAGAGTGGCATATGGTGACAGTGTTTTATGTCTAGCCTAAGCCTGAGCTCCCAGACTTTGGTCATTCCCACTGCTGCTACTGGCAGTGATAGCAGGCAATCACAGACATGCTGAGGATTTAGCTGGCTCCTCGGGTAACATTCCAATACCACAGATTGGAGTCTCTTGTCTAAGTTGAAAGAAAAAAAAGAAAACACTGGGAAGGAACTGATTAGTCACAGAGCTGTTGAACTACTGTTTGTATTATGCAACAGCTTTGCATGTGTGAACAGCAAAAGGAAATGAATACCTAAAGATATGGGAGTGATTATTTCGAAATGAAATTTAAAATCCTAGAGAAATCTTAAGTGTCCTAAGTTGAAAATCCTAGTACCTAGAACCTTGTGGAAAATATTTCAGATAGGAGACATCTGTTTTCTGCCCAGGTTAAATGTTAAAAATTGGAAGCCATTTAAAATATTTCTTATTATTTTTTCTTAGACAGACTCTCACTTTTCTGTCATCTATTGTATTCATACTGTATCACTGATTGCCAAAAAACCCCAAATTACCAGAAAACCAGAAATGAAGCTGCACTAAACTAGTTATTTCAAACATGGGCCGAACATATATAATACTATGCACATCCAAGTTCAAAGCATTCAAACCCAACACATACTAATTGTAACAGAGCAAACATTTCTTTAAAAGGTTAATTTAATGACTAATACACCCTTGGGGGAAAGGAGAGAGAGCAGAGACCGCTCATAGAGCGCAGTGTGCTTCAGGCTGATAGGGCTGTCTTACGTTTTCTTTGGGGAAGAGGAAATCTATGAACTGTCTCAAGCATTAAGCCAGAACGGGGTTTCAAAGCTCTTCCTCAGTTAGCTGGAACTCAGTACACTCCAGCAGCTTATGTGCTATGTATACCTTTAAAAATAAACTCTCATCTCAGTTTGCTCATAATATACTTTATGTTAAAATTGAAAATTTTAAACTTACCATTCCCAGACTCTTAAACTCTTGTCGTCGGATGTGCTCACAAACCTTCTATTTTCATCCACAAACACAATGGTGTTGACAGCTCCCAAATGCCTATCGTATTCCTGCACAATCTCACCACTTCGAATATCCCACTACAAGTAAAAGAGTCAGAATAAGAATCTGTTTTTTACTAAATACCAGAACTTTTAAAGAAATAAATACTCAGTAATAAATACCTGCACAATTTTCTTATCTGACATTCCTGCAACAAAGAGATTTTGTTTATCTTCGTCAGGATTGAATTTGACACAATAAGGAACCTTCCTGTTCGTGAATCTTGAAATACACTGCCCTGCAACAGAAAAGCCATTCATTGTGCATCAGGCTGGAAGTTCTATGGGCTGATTGGTTGCTTGCAGATATTGATAAAAAATACTTTACTAACAGCAGAAAATACTTGGCTTAAAGCCCTTGAGAAGATTAGAGGGTAGAATTTGCTCTGCTCTTTGACTGGACCTTCTTTCACATTTGTATGCTTACAGCTGCATAAATATGTGCACATACAAACTGTTCTGTAAGTTTACTACAGCTTTTAAAACAATATGACTGCTCCTTTTAATCCAAAAGCTCTATCTAAATAACTGAGTTCAGACTCAAGACTGAAGAATCTGACTGACACCTTTTTGGCTATCATCTGCATAAGACTAGTGGCACTGCTAACCCAGGGAACTAATGACTTTTTCACACATGAGAACTTCCTGCCTTAGGGAGAGACTTTAGTTTAAAAGAGTATTGACTAAATCTATCCTGTATTGTTTTAAATTCATAGAATCATAAAATGGTTTGAGTTGGAGGGGACCTTGAAGATTATCTGGTTCCAACCCTGCCGCCATGAGCAGGGACATTTAACTTAGGAAACCTAAGAAACTATTTGTAGCGGAATGTTACAGAGCATCTGGAAGGCAGTTCTGTGACAGCATCAGACCTACCCTCCAATTTTTTATCCCAGCAGCTCAGTTTCCTACTTTTATTCTTCAAGCTCAGGTTAAGCTGAAGATCAAGTGAGATAATTCTTCTAAATTAAGCATGTTTAGGTCTAAAGAGTAATTTATCCCTGTAGATGTAAACATGCAATTAAATGATCTAGCAAAATGTTGTCTTTTTTCCCTGAAAATTGTTCTAGCATTACAAATAACTGTCAAACTTCCCAAATGAAAATGTGTATGAAACACAGGTATACAGGTCCTGTCAACTGCCCCAATACAGATAACAGCAAAACATGTTGGGGAAACAAGACAATACACCCTGTAATGAAAGGCTGAACACTGAGCTACGAGACAATATTAAAGATATTTGGAAACCACCTGAATGATAATATATCTTTATATTCACTGTTAATTAAACGCTGTGCAACATAACAATGCTTACAAATACAAGCCTACCTGTCTCGGTGTCCCAGAGTTTAAGATAGCGGTCATACGCAGCACTAAGAAACTGAGTGCCTGCATTATTAAAACAGATGTCTCGAACAGCTTTACTGTGTCCTACAAAATAGAAAAAACGCAATGATAAACTTTCATCCATTCATGCTTAGATCTAATTTGTTGGGGAGTGGTTTTAAACAAAAACTCTAGTTAAATCCTCCAGTCTAACAATGCAAAGAGAAAATGAAAATCATTTTTGAAGTTTTTCATGAGAACTAGTAAAGAATTCATGTGAAAAAAAATAAATTAACTCCTAAAGAACAATAGGAATAAAACCCCCAAACTCCTCACACCTCTAAAGCACCAGAGAAACAAAAACAGCACAAAACCAACCACTGTGTGTCATAGATTGATACATAAGCAGAATTTCAGGAGAAATTTAAAACACTCTAGTAAATGTCAACATTTAATGAAAAATAGGAGAGACAAACCCTAAAGGAGACATATTTAAAGGAGAAACATTTATAATTAGAAAACAGGTTAAAAAACCGGGAAATATTAGATCAGAAAATTAAGAATGCTTTCATCTGGTGTTAACCTTGTCACCCCTCAGGCTCAATACCTTTATCTGACCACTACATCAGACTTGTAAATCTCTTTAGCTAAAATACTGGCACAGTAACTTAAATATAGCAAAATAACAGGTGAATCTGGTTGATAATAAGGACCTTTTGAGAAAAAGAATCTGACTGTTCAGTAAGAGCAGTCTATTGAGAGAGAATCTTTTTCGAGCCATCATCTTTGCCACATTCCTGTCATCAGAAATATTAGGGGTAAAAAGACTCCTTTATTGTTACTCAACATATATTCACTCAATGTTCTAGAAATGTTCCCATTTCAAAAAGAGAAGCAGCTGCTTTTGTTCTGTATTCAAGGCTGTTAAGAAGTTTGTATTTCTCTCTCTCTCTCTCAACTATCTGCTTCAAAAAGCACCTGTTACATGAACAAAGACAGCATCTGAACTTAAAAAAAAAAAATTCCCATTCTTTTGCACTAGAAACTCAGCACAGAGGAAATGACCTATTTAAGGTGGGATCGTCAGAGCATGAGATGCCCTCATTGTATAAATACAGAAAGCTACAGCATGAAGATGGGGCAATTTAATTTCACAATTTTGCCTTTGGAAAGGATCTTGCAAAAAGTATTGATGACTGTAGTACTCTGATGTTTTGTTTTAAAGGTTGTAAGGCGTTACACATCAACATTAAATTGCTTGGAATAATGACAAAATTTTGTTACAAACTTGCATCTTTTTCAATTCTTACTGCCAAGATCATCCCAAATACCGTTTGCCTTGGATGTGTACGAGTCCTCTCTATGATAAATTACTAAGCTAACCTAAATACTATTCTTCCATGAAGTTAATTTAAATATAAATCAGTTTAAAAGAAAGACTATTACCAATAAATGTTCGTAGACATCTTCGATCGCCATATACTTCCCATAACTTGGAAAAAAGAGATGGAGAGAAAATATGTCAATTGTTAAACAATAATCATGCTGAAATTAAGTGTAAACACATATGGCAACATCTTTTAAGAAATTAATTAGAAATATATGACATCTATTGATTAATCACAACTATCTATCCAGAAATTCACAGGAATGCTGTCACCTTCCTGTTAGCAACTCCCCCTTAAAATAACTAAAAATCCCATATAATATTTAGCTTTAAAGACTTAGGGTTTTGCTCCTGAAAAACCCCAACAACATCAGCTTTCTAATACAGAATATGCTGGATTAAAGTGAGAGTAGTTTGAAACCACAAATGCTTCAGTGAAACACTTCAGCAGAAATCTACTGTTAGTTGTAAAACCAGGCTTCACAGAAAATGAATTAATATAACAACAAAGGCAATACCCTGAAGTACTCATGACCTTCTAAATGCTATTACTAAACAATTGACACCATTCTAACAGCCACAGTCTTATGTATTATTTCTTTGTTCCAATTAAATTGTAATTTAAAAATCAAGTGAGAAAAATAAAAGTAACACAGATGAAAGGTATTTGGTAGAAGTACCAAATGTTTTTGTATTCTAAAATGTAATGTCTGTATTCAAGGATAGTATAAAATATATACATGAAAGCAGAAAAATAACTCACCTTAATTTTGCAATCCATAGAGCAAGACAACAGTATATGCCCAGACAGAGGAAACAATCTAACTGCACTGACACCCTGTAAATAAGAACATAATGAAACAGATATTTCCTCAGTTCATTTGCTCTCTTTTCCAAGCAAAAAGCTAAAGCTTATCTTCATAAAATATACAGATACTGTATCTTGAAAAGAAAGCCTACCCACATTCCATATGAGAACAGTGATGCATTTTGAACAATTGCTATTGGGAATAAATCAATTCACTCTAACAGCTGCATATGTAGCCTTTTTCAATACTCACACCCTTACTGCAGTAAACACAGGGGTTTGGGTGACTGTTTCTGTGTAATAAACCCCAATAAGTGGGGCAGGTGAGGAACTTTTCCACAGAAAAAGTTATTTGGCCAGCTCAATTTCTTACATATACTATCAGTGGCTTCTAACTACTGAATTCAGATTCCCTGAGCACAGCATCTTCCCATCTGTCTGCATTTCAGCTACTCCTTTCAGAGGAAGTCCAAGGAACCCCCAAGTACTCATGGCTTGATGTCTCTCCTTTTCTTTTCCTGTCAGTTGTTCTATTCATATGCCATCCAGTTCCACCTTCCCACCCGGGACTGCGGTTGGGTACTTTATCCTCCCTATTACTGTCTACTTATATCTTCCAGTTTTTCTAAATTTGTCCCCCTATCTTTCTTTTGCTTCTCTCATCACTTTCATTATTCATCTTGTTTGAAGGAAAAAGCTATTTTGTGCATCAGTCTGTTGTAATAGGATAACAGGCAGAGGAGCGACTAGAGCTTTGGGGAGGAGATGTTATCCTGGACAGCCCTGACAGTTGCAGCTATAAACTCGTTGACGCCGCAATCAGTAAAGAAGATCTCAGATCTGTGGCAACTAAATAAGAGTAAAAGCTAAAAACATTTCCTGTGTCCTCCTTTCTTCTGGTTTTTAAGGATTATGGTGCTCTCTATTGCAGTGCAGCATATCCCCCTCAAGCAATATTGAAAATTAATGACAAAAGACGTAGCAAATTGAGTATAAGGTTTTTAATACCAAAAGTATGTATACAGTTACAATCTCTTGCGCAAGAAGAAAGTGGATATTAAGCAGTATCAAAGTGGATATTAAGCAGTATCAAAGAAAACTCTTAACAAGATACACCTCTCAGAGGTAATAGTTGTATTTGGGAAACCTGTAATGCTGTTGCATCATAATATAATAAGTTACGTGGGTTTTTTGAAGTTGGATACGAAATAGCCCTTAAGTACTTTTGCTATTAAAAAACCCCAACCCCCTAAAATTCTCATGAATCTCTAGATTTAGCCTTATTGTTATTCACATGGTAGTTTAGGAAATAACTCCAAATCCCACAGAATTCACTGGATAATACTCTTCCCCTTAAGGGAGAACCATAGCGTTGACAGAAAAGCATATGCAGCTAGACAACTGCATTTGAGAGGCAAACACCTTGTCTGAGCATGTAATGCAATCAATTATATGCAAAATGTGGTAAAGATGAAAATACTCTTTCCTTCTACTGAGGCTTCAGTTTTACAGAAATTACAAGCTGCAGACACAAAATTAGGTGGGTTTTTATGATGTATGCTCACAGACATTCCTACCTTTGTATGTCCAGACCACACATGGATTTGTTTCTTTGGAAGATAGCACTTCTCAGGTGGCACTGTAGAACGAAGATTAACTCCAACATCTTGAGGGACATGAAGATAAGATCTCCCCTGATAGTCATACATTTCCTTAACTGAAAAGACAAACACAGAATTCTGAGAATCCAAGAACCTATATTTTAAGAGGTTATAATCTTTGGAAGGCTGAACAACACACACAATTAAACTTTTTCTCAACACAGCTGCTCTACTGTGAAGTGGAGAGAGAGATGAGAGGTGGGGGTAAGAAAAACCCATTTCACAGGATACAGACATGGAATCTCAGTTGACATCAGTTAAGATCAAATTAAGTCATTTCAGCAAAGTCTGCTTGGAATCTGATAATCTGAACATTAAGACAATCTCTCTCGTACACATCATACTCATCATCAAACGGCACGAGAATTTCCCTGACCAACAAGGGTTTGCTTACATTAACTCTATATAGATTAGAATGTGGAACTCTAACCCTGGCATTTTTTTGCAACTCACATACTGGCCAGCTCTGTGCTGTGTCAGTCATGACAACAGAATTACAAATCAAGGGAAAAAAGATTGGCCAGCATGAACCAATACTGGTCAGCAGTAGCCAACAACTGCTCTGGAACTAGATTTAAGAAGTGATTGGACAGTCAGACATACAGGGATGGAAATGGATGTGCATGGAAATGGATACTCCAGAGCAGACACCTTGCACAGCCATGACATTAAGCTGTGCACTGATTAAATTAATTTCTCAGTCTGGAATGTTGCTATGGCAGTTTCAGTTGTACAAGTGACCACAGTGTCCATGTTTACTTTGTATCATGTATATATTTACATTAGATGTCTACAAAATGGCATATTTCTGGAACATTTGTGTGTGAGAAAATTAAAGTTTATATTTCAAGGTCTTTCACTGTGAAACTTCAGGTACAGAGCATGAAAAGTTGGATACAAAATAATTACCCTATAGGAAACTCAGTGGCTAAAATTTCACGTTTGTTATGCTCAATACTGTTCAGTAAATATTCCCATGATATACTACATACAAACAGAACGAAGTACTGATGTCAGCTATGCTGATCTCACAGCCGCCTCTTCTTTAACTCTCGTAAGAAAGGATGCTCACAGCCTGTGTGTGTGAGCCTGGCTGTAGGAATGGTAAGCAAAGAGAGATCCTGTTTACCTAACTAACTACCTGCAGCAACAAATATAAGGCAGGGCTGTTCTGTATGCCGTGAGTTGAAGTAACAGTTTCAAAAGATTACTTAATTTTACTTACTTACCAAACCATTTTCTTTGAAGGCGCCACACACTATAGGCTTCCGCAGGGTAATTAATTGATACACAACTATTCATAGTATGACAGCAAGTACACTTATAGTAACAATTGAGGAAGTATAAAGTCCAAGAGATTTTCTAAGTTGTGCATGAGCCATAACTCAAAGCACTACCTCCTAATGAGAATACTGACACATAAAACTACAATAATTGTGAAGCTGAAACTAAGCCAAACTCATAACTTTAATATGTTTGCTCTGTAAAATAGGAAAGGGATATGTGCCTCTAGCAACATTAAAAATAAATAAATAAAATCAGAACCCTGAAAAACATTTCCATGCTGCTCTTCACAGTATGAAGTGGAGTTAGTCCAAGTTTATTTCTTTCCCTGTCCTTTATGCTTATGCCTGTGAGAGCTATCATCTCCAATATGGAAACATCAAGGTGCCTCAGCAAAACTGAGGCTGTCTGCCACCCTTACTAATTAACACAGCAGGCAAGAAGACATAGCGAGCTAGAAAATGAGAACAGGCAGGAAGATGCCATTACCATGTAATATAGTCTTCTCCTCTCCAGGTTTATCATCTTCTAGTTTTCCTCTCTTCTGCCTCTTAGCTGTTATTTCATCCAACTCCTTCTGCTCTTCCTGGAAAAAAATAAAACATGATCTTTTTAGAAGTCAGCATTCAGAATCACATAGCAAAATCTAGAACTGTACTACTGTTTATTCACTGCTAAGGACACATTTACTTGCTAAATGAGATTAGATATATTTCTAAGCATCAATAAGGAGAATACCTTTATCAAAACAATAGCTTGAAAAGCTATGCACACTGAAAAGAATTATTACCTTTTTATTCATAGACTACAGCTAAGCACTGATGGAACAAGAATGATATCTATTGGTTGGAGTGTTCAGGGGAGGGTGTGTTACTGGGGATTTTGTTTGGCTGTTTTTTTCTTTTGTAAAAAAGTTTTACTTCGATTTTGTTTTCAACCTGCTTCTGTCTATAAACACCTTTAATCAGACATACTACACACACAGGTACAACAAAATTTATTTCCAAACAGTGTTGCAAATAATAGAATGAAGAATATTTGGAACACCCTATTTAGACATATCATCTTAAATGCTCCTATCAACCCAAAGCATAGCATGGATCTTCTGCTCGGACAAACTCCTAGTGCAGATAGATCTCTGTTAAAAACACTGCAATTTTGTACTAAATATTTGTACCTATTGTGTTAAGGCAGCACTTACTTCTGATGGTTTGGCTACTTCTTTTTCATCAACATACTTTGCCCACGGTCCCAGAAAACCATCAATATTAGACGCATCATTCTCCTTGAATTTCTTCCTTTTCTCAATTTTCCTCTGTCCTGTTTCAAACACTGTTAAACCTGAAGAAGGAAACAATACATTGCCCAACTGCGAACACAGGATACACAATCACAGGTAACACCATAGTCAGTTTAAAAGAAAAAGCCACCATCACCACTCCTTTCAATACAAACAGCAAAACGGGAAAAACCATTTAATCAAAATGGGCCAAATCACTGCCCAATTTTCCAGCTATGGACACTGCTAACTATGCACAGTAACAGAGGAACCACTTTAATTGTGTATCATTTTTTGTTAGAGTATTTAACCATGCTTGTACCCATTGATTTTTAACAATAAATCTGCAGACTGTAAGAATACATCCATTTTCATACTTTCATCAGTGCAGTTTTTGACAGTAAAGTCCACAATTGGCTTCTAATCACCCTCAATCCTCACACTTTCAAAAAGCGCCTACCCCAAGATGAAAATAAGTCTCCCCAAAGCCCAACCAAAACTCTGCATTTTGATTTAGTAAAAATTCATAGAAACATAGAATGATTTGGGTTGGAAGTGACCTTTAAAGGTCACCTAATCTAACCACCTTGCAATGAGCAGGGACATCTTCAGCTAGATTAGGCTGCTCACAGCCCCATCCAACCTGGCCTTGAATGTTTCCTCAGATGGGGCATCCACCACCTCTCTGGGCAACCTGTTACAGTGTTTCCTCACTTTCACTGCAAAAAAAATCCTTCCTTATAACTACTTTGAATCTACCCTCTTTTAGCTTAAGATCATTACCCTTATCCTGTTGCTGCAGGCCCTTTTAAAAAGTCTGTTGCTATTGACTGTCACCTGCCTCCAAACACTCTCCTGCTCTTTCATATAAATGCTAGCTTTCCACAAATGTTGTGCTCTCAGAATTTCATTTGTCAAAGCCATTAGACGATTTAGATATGGTAGAAAAAGTAAACTTGAAGTCATTAGTTTTAAGTTTTTCAAAAGGTTGTATATTATGTGCAATTTTCAAACAACGTTTTCCAACAGCAGCAGTAATACTCATTTAGTGCAAAAGAGACAAAAAGAGCTTGAGATAAGGGGAAAATAGGCAATGGAAAAACTGAAGCAGTGACTATATGAAGGTACTGTACATTAACCAAGGGTTTTCTTAAAATGAATTACTAAATTCCATTATGAAAAGGTTAATTTTTAATTTTTTAACAAGATTTAATCTTAGTAGTTCCCTTCTTTGGAAGGAAAGAGTGAAATAACCTTGGATATATTCTGAGGAAAAGGAAATAAACAGAAATAAAGAACCTTTGTGTATATATGTGAATAGGAGGTTTGAAAGACATGAAAGGGAAAGTATGAATTTTACACAGGTACAGTTTTCCAAGTCAAACAAGTCACTTAAAATGTTAAAATATCTTGTATCAAAGTATTAATTACAAACCCCATGCTTCTGGTATCAATCCTCCCAGTGGCATGCCATGCCTTTACTATTTGGCAACCTTCCAATGGTTTTTCTTTTCCAACTAACCCAAAGAGCTTAACTCTGCTAAGCAGAGATAACATGCAGCTCCCAACAGGAGTGCTTAAGGTTGCATACAGAGTGATCACTTTGCTCCTGAGCAGCACAGTTGCGGTGATTAGCCCACAATACAGCCCTGTATCCTAATGCAAGACACATGACAATGCTAGCCAGGACAGAATTTAAGAGGACCAAAAAAGCTGTTTCAAATACACAGATAAATTCTATTTGTTCAACTACACGTTGCAAATCCTAACTGAAATTTGTCAAGACAGCCTGAAACATTTGCTACTTCAAGAAAAAAAAAACCTCCAGTATCTCTCTATCCTCTTTCCATTGCAACACATCTTTCTTTACTGTATCTTTGGACACTGGTAAGTCTCCCATAATTTCTTCCTTTGCTAATACCTATTCTATTTCTTAGTAAAGAAGAAATGAAAACAGTCATCAGCTGCAAGTCATTTATACAGGATTCTGGATTAATTACCTTGATTTTTTTCAGCTTCCTCTACGGAACCAATATACTTGGTAGCAACTTCAGGATTATCTATGGAGGGATCTAATGCATAACCTAGAACAGGAGGAAAAAAAAAATACTGTTATTTCAAGCTTTTCAGGTTATATGACTTTTATTAGTCCGTCCCCGTGCAAATTTTTCCCCATTGACTCTGAATGAGCTAGGTATGAGGAAGAATTGATACTTTGGAATCCCATTCATTTTTCGCTTGGCCTGAATATAAAGATTACTATGAATTAGTACCTTGAAGCCCTTGAGGACATATTGCTATCAGAAAGCTTACACTGGCACAATACTGAGAAACAAATAAATATAATAGGCAACAGGTGAAATGAGATACAAAGTGAGGGTAGTCACAAGAAGCAAAGTCACGGAATCGCTCTGGTGGGAAGGGACCTCAGGAGGCCCCTGCAGGGCCCAACACCCTGCTCCAAGCAAGGTCAACACTGAATTCAGACCAGCTGGCTGTGATGCAAACATTAGATTTTAAAGTGCCATAGCAACCTCTCCTTGTTGTAACACGGCATAAGGAAAAGATAGCTCAAAATCTTGTGTTAGTGACACAAGATGTAAAACAGATGCTGCTTTAGTTCGGGGCTCTGTTCTTTGGTTTGCAAAGCCAGTGAGTCACATGGAAACCAGCCTGTGGCTGCTGCACACAGACAGCCCTCCGGTTTCACAGCAGCCTCTGGCCCTGAAGCCCTCTGCCCTGCTCACTACCTCTGCAGGGTCACACAGAGTGCTGCTCATCTCTAGCAGCCCTGGCAATGGCAGCAGCTGGAAGGAAGAGGACGGAGATGGGAAAAAAAATAAAAGCAAAAGAAGTTTTCCAGGGCTTTGTGAGTATTCTGTCTCCCCCAGCAAAAATTTAGTCCTCCCCCTGCCAGCGTTGCGAAAGCTTGTTCCTTCAACTTGAAAGCAGTTGCTTTAACTAATGTGGGTGGTACCAGAAGCAGCAGTAATGGCCTTTAATTTTTAAAAGAATTAAGTATTCACATCTCCATTTCCTGATTACAGCTATTGAGTCTCAATTAAAAAAAAAAAAAAAAAAAAAAAAAAAAAAAAAAAAAAAAAAAAAAAAAAAAAAAAAAAAAAAAAAAAAAAAAAAAAAAAAAAAAAAAAAAAAAAAAAAAAAAAAAAAAAAAAAAAAAAACAAAAAAACCACAACCAAACACAAAAAACCCCCAACCACAACAAAATCTGGTGCATTTATACTTACAAATAATTTATAAAATGTACCAGCATTTCATAGATATGCAGGATATTTACAATTTTTGATAATGAGGTTCTCATTTTAATACATATCTTACATTTTTTCTCCATTTCTCCTGAAGTGGATAGCATGAGCTGATGAGAATAAGACAGACAAATAAATTCATTTGGTTTTCAAGGAACAGGTGCACTGAACAGTTACTGACCACTATGGCTGTTTTTTTTTGGGAAAGACTGCACCCTGGTGGACGTAACACCAATTTTTATTAAAGTGACAATGTCCCTTGAGGACCCAATGAGAATTTCTCTGTATCAGGGAGGAAAAAGAACCCCAGTAAAGATATTAAACCACTGGCAAAAGTAATTGCACACACAAAATCAACTAAATCCTACAGTATACAATCCAATTCCCGTATTTTTCTTGATTCACAGGGAGAATCACGAACAGTGGGAGATTAGCCAGTCCACCCCAGAGACCAAAGGCCCACAAACCCACTTGGGTACAAACAAGCTGACAACCTATCAATACCATCCCAATAGCCAAAGGAGATTGTTTCCCCAGACATTTCTCATCAAGAGAGATGTCCCAGAAGACAGTCCAGTTAATTTCTTTTTAGATGCTGTGAAAAAAACCATATTACGGAAATTAGTAGAAGAGCCATTCCAAGAACACAGTAGGTATTCCCATCCAAATGGAGCAATCCACCTGGCGACCAGCTCTGGAGTTTCAAACCTGCTAAGACCCAGCCATGGAACACCATATGCCCAGATGTTCAATGAATATGATATACAGAGAGAAATATATACCAATGCCCTCTTAGGAAGTATACATTCTCTCTTTGTTCTAGACTCTTATTAGGATTTACTTCTATGGATAACCAAACTGAGCAGACACTGCAATTACACTTTCACTAAGCCACTATTCCAATGAGTTCTCTTCCAAGCTATAAGGTTTCTATTGACAGTGGAGAGATATTACTTTGGATTTACATCAAAATCAATACAGTGGTTTACTTGTCCTCCAACTGTATTGACACCGTCTCCGGGACTCTATTTGCTTGGTATTTGTAAAAGAGGGACAGTATTCCAATGAATAGGGCCCCTGGGCCAAGCACAGCTTCCCGTGGAAGCGGAGGCTCCTTATAGCTGAGTTGAATTTGGTCCAGCATCGTTCTCATAGAAAAGCTCTGAACAGTTTCTACTTTCTAGTGAATGTGTGAAAGAGAATCTTTTCTTTCTGGCTGGGATTCCTGAACACAGCTGCAAAAGACAGCTTGCTTTTATCCTACTCAGCTGGTATCCCACATAATGTGCCCTGACTTCTATGTCTCCTTCAGTTTTATTTAGGAGGCAGTTATTTCACGCAGCATTTTAGCAACGAGAGCTACAATTCCACCTCCAACCATAATTTCAGTGCACCTGAAATGGTTGGTTAAATAATCAGACTTTGATGTGCATTCCAGAAAGACAGCTGATTAACGCATGTTTACACCCTACTGTGCAATGCAGCATACAGAGACCCAACGTAGCTCAGGTATGTGGAAAAATACAGCTGGACTAACCCACTCTGACTGCACTGGCACCTCTGCGGAATCAAAGTAATCAGAGAATAAAGTGCCTATAATTGTAAGAGGTAATAGTGACTGTAGGTGTTGCATGTAACATGAGTAGATGAAAAAAAAATAAAATCACAGTGTTATTTTCAAGTCAGTCATTTTAAGCTCTCAAAATATCAGTCTTAGTGATGAAGTAATCCTGCTATAACCAAGTTACTGAGTACTCATAAAGAGCTTGGAGATTCATGGACAAAAGGCTGTTTCTTATTAAAAAGGACATTAATGTTTTGTGAAGAAGAGATTTTAAAATACTAAATGCTGCATGAATGAAGCAGTCCACTTCTAGGATAATCACTGATGCTGAAATGGCTATGAAATGACTTGTCTAATATATTCATGAACAGTTGGTGTGCTGCATATAAAAAAAAAATCTCTTAATTCTGCTTCTGAAAATGTATATATGATAATATAATTAAGGAGAGCATACTGACTTTTTTAAACAATGCTCAAAAGGGAATTTTGAAGAAAAGAGACTGCTTCCGTAGAGAGTAGAGATACAGAAGAATAAACAAGTGCTTGCATTTGAGGACTCCCTAGTCTTTTCTTCCATGCTCCAAGGACTACAACATTGGGAAAATAATGCTAGTTAAGCTTTTGGCATTTTATGTTATAATTGCTTGTGAAAAGGAATTTGTTTTCATAGAGAGATTGCCTTTTTTTAATGGCAGAAATTAAACTAAGTTACATCAATGGAATCAAAATGGGGTAGATTATCTATGACTGCAGATGCAAAACTGGTTACCAATTTAAAAAGTCAGGACTCCCTCGGAGCAATTATTAATGGCTTTCCATTAAACTGGGAGAGGATCTTATACAGGATCTTATACAGGATATAAAATGGCCTACATGGACTATTTTACTCAATATTCTTATGGATTATGCCATTGGCATACTCCCTTCAGGTAACTGTATAAAGCAGTGAGATGTTCCCTGCAGCCCAGGTCTCCTTTTCTCCAGGCTACCCAATCCCAGCTCCCTCAGCCACTGCACATCTTAACCGTAATGTGGAAAACATCTCCAGTGCCTGTGTCAAGTTCACTTCCTCCAACTCCTGGAATGAAGGGAACCTTACTGAGATGGGTAGGTCTCACCTAGACTAAAAAGCTATTGGTACTGAGAAGGTTCAGAGAGTGTTTTTTGATAAATATTTGGGGATAGCAAATACTCTGAAAAAAAAAAAAAAGCAATTTCCAATGATATAGGATCTATAGAAAACCATATCTTCAAGGAAAAGGTAGCACAGAAACCTGAAACCTCAAATAATAGGGATAGTAATAAGCACAGAATCCCATTTAAACTGAGGGCAGGGAAATGGAAAACCCAAGCGTGCATGCAAAATGGCAGAGGCTAAAAACAATACATAGGAAAATCTTGTTTTAAAATAATAAACTAACATAATTGGTAGGACAGTACTGACATAATTGGATAGAATATATGCTTTACCAGGTGGAAAGAATACAGAAATAAGATGGTCATACCAAGAGGGAAAAACGTGTTATATGCCACAGAAGGCTTAAAGACAAATCAGATTAACAAGTTAATAGTGTTAACAAGCATTAAATGATCCTTTGGATTGAAATTCCAGGTTTAAGAAGTGGTGGGTACAGTTGCTAGGAGTCTGTTACTGACCATTCAGACAGAAGATACAATAACCATGAAATGGTAACTGAGACTAAGCAACAGGTACCAGGAAAAGAAGTACCGCAATAATGACATATTTTAGTCACCTCCTTGTAGCAACCCGTGCAAATCTCACACCAAGATATGATGAAAACAGCATTTTTACACAATGTACTTGTACCATGAAGCAGTCATGCTGGAGATTCATGTGAAAAAAAGCCAACTGAGCCGTGCAGGAAACTTGATTTTAAGACAGTCTTTCTAAGGATACACATTTTGACAATGACCATTACGGGGTATAAAATCAACATTGTTCACTAAGCAAAGAAAGCCATAAAAACATTTATAACAGTGATCTCAATCTCAAAATAGGAGGGCTATATTAAGTAAACAAGGTTTTGAAAAGGAACAGAAAGTGAACACCTAAGGGTAAAGCCTTTTTCAAATGCAGGGACACTTCAAAAAAAGCATGTAGGAGAAAAAGAAACAGTGCCTGCCAGCTATTAAAAGACAACTTTAAAGCGACCAGAAGAAAGTGAGCACAGCTGAATAGTACATAAACTATTAGAAATAAGAAATTATTCTTCAAAGAGATGAAGTTGCATCCAGATGTGGCAAATACAAAAGACCAACTAGAAGACAAAGTAAACACTACAGTAAGGCAGCCTCCCCCCAAAAGTGAGGGGCTTATCACAAAAGGTACAGAAACTAACACTTACCCTTTGTCAAAACCTGCAGGGATAGAAAGAGTACCAGACAGCATGCAGGCCAACAGATGATCAAGGAATGAAAAGAGAACATCAGAGAGGGGGTTTTTTTTGAACACGTGTTCAATACAGAGGAGCTTGGGTAGGTTCCTGTGCCAGAACTTTTCTTTATGGGTAATATGACACAGTATCTATCTCAAAGTGAGAACATTAAAGTGGTAACAAAACACCAGGACCAGATGGCAGTCACCCAAGAGATCTAAACTCAAACCACAGTGCAAAAACTCTCACCTAATATCACCTGAAATAACAGAAAAGGAATGTATCAGTAAGTAAAATGCCATCTTTCAAAAGATGCTTCAAAGGAGATATGGGGATCTACAGGTCAACCTGCCAGACGTTTGTATATTTAGAAGATTGAAGAGAAGAAACTATAATAAAGAGAAAGAGTATGCACTGGGGTAAGCATTATCTATTGCAGCAGAGAAGACACAGTTTTCTCTACAGTTAAATTACAATGACAAAACCTCCAGAATATTTCTGAGGTGACAATCCTGTGAATGAGCAAAGTTTGTATGATGTTGGACACCTTTACGACATCAAGTTAGACTGATTAGAGGGCGCACGAAGACATTTAAAAACTCACATGTCTTTACATGGTCAGCTGATGAAAAGTTATTAAAACACTGGCAAGAACAAATGGTTGGTTTGCACAGCACAGGAAAGTTGCTGACAGATTCATGCTCTGGACCATGACATTCAACATATTGATAAATGATCTGGAAAAATGCAGCAAGTAGCTTTGAGCAAGTTATTCAAAGCTGTAGAGAAAAATGCAATGTTAAGAATTCTCAGAAAATGAAAAGGAAAAGCCTCTCGCTGTATTAAGCCACGGAACAAATACACAGTGAGATTAACACGTAAACTTTGTGCATGGCTTCGCTCTTCGTCTTGGGGAACAATACAGTGGAACTAGCAGAGAAATGGAAGAGAAACAAGGATAGCCATAGGCATGGAAAGGCTGGAACAGAGGAACAAGAAGATTGATCAGACCTTTTCAGGTGAAAAAAAAAACCCAAACAGACTGAGAAGTAGTTATGGCCAAGATCTATAAAATAAGGAATGACACAGAAATGGGGAATAAAAAATGACTGCTCATTTTGTCTTCCAGCACAAGAGATTAGGGGATATCAAGTCAAACAAGAAAGCTGTTAAGTTTGACAAGTTCAAAACAGAGACACTTCCTCACACAAGGTGCTGGTAAGCTGCAGAGCTGCCTGCAAGAGATTACTACAGACACAGAAAAATTATATGGATTCAAGAAGCAGTTTAACAAATGTGTCAAAAAGAAAAAACAAACAAACACAATGAACCCACTGCAAATTAATAAATATACAATCATTGCCTCTGGTTGAGAGACCGAATATTGAAAAAAAGTATTTGGATGTATCACTACTGGCTTGCTTCTTCTACACCTCACTAGGTATCCATTGCTGCCCTAATAGAATAACTGTAATAACCCTATAATGACCCTAATAATAATTATTTCTGTCTAACAGAATAAAGAGCTGGAAAGACCATCAGTCAATGTTGGCGAATGTTCAGCATGGATGTTCTCAGCTATCCAAGCATCATAAGGAAAATGTACTTTTAACAGTAAAGATTTACTGCAAAAGAAGTAGATAAGAAAGACCAGTTGCCAATTAATAAATAGTTTCTCACTGACTATGTACTAAGTTTCAGGTTGACATACAATATAAAGCTGCCTTTTTTTTTTTGGTGAAAGACACTCAGGCAGTTGAGCTGTTTTGGATATATGATCTCATTTACCACCCTTGTCCTTCATTTATAGTCAATGTTTATTTACATGCCAGCTACTGCAGATTTCTTTTGAGATCTACTACCTTAAAGCAATGGTACTAAACAGAGTAACAGAGGCCAGAGGTTTCGGGATGTGCAGGTTTTAAAAGAGAGGTTTATTTTCTATTCTTCCAGTATATTATGACTTAGCCATTAAAAACATGTATGGCTTAGATTTATGCCTATCAATTATACCCGCATTTTTACACTTGGAGTCTTCTGAAAAGACAATAATTACATCCTTCCAAATGGAAAAAGAGAATATTGCATTTTCTAATAGATAACTTTTTGGCAACTTAAAGGAGTGCCGTTTTGAACAGACCTACTGAGCCAGAATACCATGCTCATTTACTGCATCTTCTAAGCCTGAACTCCAGCTTCTCAGTGCTTGTTCTCATCATTTAAATTGCCTGTATCTCAGCGTTTTCATAGTTCCATTTTCACTGTACCCAGATCATTATCTACTGAACATTTCTAGAAAGCTGAATGTGATAGCTGCACAGCTGCCAGTGTTACAAGTCTTAAAAATACATTTTTATACTCACTTGTAATACAGCTTTCAAGGCAGCTGCTACACAGTGATTATATAAACCAGTAGCAGGAGTTTTGAGTAGACTTGCCAGTTCTATCTTCCCCCAAACTAAACTTTGCAACCCAAAAGCCCTCAAACCAAACACAATATGCCCAGAGACTCCTTTATTCCAGTATCTATTTTACACACAAAAATGCCCAACCCACACAATGCTACATTTAATTTCACAGAACAAAATCTAATCTGTCTATTTGGATCCTGAAGAGGCTCCTATCTGTCAAATTCCAACATCAAAATTACAGTCAAGTTAAAATAATGCTATGGAACTAGATATCCATTTCTTAATATTGGCATTTTGCTTATATTTCACATCCTAATAGTATTTTGAATGTTACTATGGATAAAGAAAGATGCAAATATGTTGTGCAAAAAGTTCAGCGTTGTGATATTTTACTTTTACACAGGAAACATCAGAACTTGCCTAATAAACTGAAATTGAAGAATATAAAGTGATACTTCAACTGAGCAAGCACTTGCAATCAAGCTTAAAACAGAAATGAAAGCTTACAATGAAATACAAGAAAAATTAACCATTGTTATATATAAACACATGGCAGTTCTGTTCTTTCAAACGTGTCCAAAAGGATGCTTAGAATCCAGGCTTTCCATATTTTTCCTATTTAAAAAAAAAAAAAAAATCAATATTTCTTACATTTCAAAAAAAGTCTCAAGCTTCTCCAAGACTCATATGTTTCATTTTTCAAATGCAAGTATTTACAAGTGAAAAGACTATTCAAGGTAAGGAAGTAGCTACTACAATGATCACCAAAACAGACTTCTTTGGGTCTGTCTTTGCCAAGACTATTTTAGTAATGTATTCCCATTTTCTGCAAATCCATTCAGTTTGTGTCTATAGAAAGCCTGAAAACACAGTTAGGCATCCTTTTGGTTTTGAGAGAGTTACCTTTAGTTAGAATCACATGAAAGAATCTATTTGCATAGCAGATGCATAACAGTCATGTTAAAAATGTGAAATTTTGATTTGTGTTTTTTACACTTGATGCAACTAATGAAAGAATTAATTAAGAGGAGTTTGCTAGGAGATCATACACTGGATTACAGTTTCAAACAGAATTAAAAAATGAGTTTTTCCAAATAAATACTATGATCTCCAGTCACATGGATTCTCATTCGAAGACCTCTTCCCATTTTACTAAGTCTGATAAAAAACAATTTAAGGAAGTTGCAGTCCTATTAACTGTTCTATCAAGAACAACATAATTTGTCCAACATGGGCATAATAAAGATGGAGGTGAATTTCACTGTTAAAGACTTACCATAGGTTGCAAATGTTCTTCTTTGTTGTTCAAACATGAAATCATTGATGTGAGCTGGTTCTGCATATCCAGATAGCATATTTCTAGGTGCAGCCATTTGTTGGGTCCGAAATGGGTTTTCTGGTCCAAACTACATAAAAAAATGTTAAAACAAAGTATAGCAGAATTAGTGATTTCTTATTTTTATGTATGTACGTTTTCAGAAAAAAAAAAAAACACAGGAAAAAAAGACTTGTCTTTCAAAAATTGTAATGCAACATCAACTTCAACTTTATATTTGGTTATGACTACTGAATAAGCTTCTTAGTCTGTTATTTTACACAGTAATCACACAGTTGCTTTGAACAGTTAGTTCCATGATTGAACTTTCTAGCCGATGTTACAGAAGACAAATATCAACTATTTGACTTGCTGATACTTGACAGTATCAACACATACAATCGATCAGTAGAAGCATTCAGAAGACCAAACCATAGTGTACTGTCCCTTCTAAAGGGAGGAGATCAAAGAAGATGTATCAGGTCCTACTGAACTCATGTGGTTAATACAGAAATTACATTGCTAACAATATTTTCGTGCATTTAAAAAGCAACTGGGGACTTCCTGTATTATTCCAGGAAAACAACTAATGAAACCCTGCCCTTCTTTTCTTCTTGCAAGGTGACAAATGCCAGTCTTCCTGGTTATCATGGCTAGGGAAGAGAACAGTGACTACAAATAAATGCAGTAGACTGAGACTAATATCAAACTAAGTTTAATTGTAACCCCTATGCTTGTCAGCCATACTTGCAAACACCTGACACTCCCACAATAGGTTTCCCTCACTAAAACATTTACACTCAGCAGCACTTTTATATCAGTACTTTTGCTCACACACATCACAGCTTTGATATGTTGCAAAATGCAAGCTCCCTATGAAAAGGCCAATTTATGTGGTTCCACAAAATGTTTTCTAAACACAAAGCATAACTAGCGTAGAAATCCAAGATTGCTGCAGCATTTGTCTACCTAGAATGCTAACTTCTGGTCTAACAGAAAATAAACTATACAAAGAAGTTAAACACTGAAAAAAGTTAAATGCTTGAACAGCTATTTTTATCTTTCCAATAGCCTGTCAGTTATAATAAAATGGAACGTGGTTCACATGGCACCAAGCAGTCTAAATTCAGCCCAATATGGTTTTTTGCTATACACATTTAGCACTGCTCAAGTTACTAATATTCTTAATACTCATGTGAATAATTAAACTGAAAGTACTGTGATTTTAATTTTAAATCCTCTTCTTAAAAGCGTTACATCTGCAAGACTTACAACTATTCATTTTGCTCTAATAAGCACAATGAGCAAATACCAAAAATGTGAAAATAGTCAGAGACCGTTTTAATGCAGTTTGTGTTTTGCTCAACATCTTTATAATGCTATTTTCTCAGCTTAATTTTTAATTTCCATAGCTATAATTCTGATAAACACTTTAGGATTCTTCTTAGAACAGCTTTATACAGAATATTAAAATTCAACCATTAAAAAACACCAATACACCTGTGTAGAATCTATTTTTTTTTAATTTGCCAAAACTAGATCCCAAAAAGCAGCACACATTCAAAGAAATTATCTTATAGGAAATTCACATGAAATTTATAGAACATCTGCCCTTTAAGCCAAAGGCATTTCTGCTCTAAAGATCAATATTGCTTCTTACCTCAGGTGCAAACATAGTTTCATAAGTGGGATTATACTGAACTTCCTTGATAGCAGGATCAAGGTGGACTCCTGTTTCCACATCTTCCTGAAATAAAACAGACACATTCACAAACCATTTTTCACATGTGGACTTTTAAATACGTGACATTAACTTCTTTCAGTTCTAATCAGGGCTGTGGTTCAAGCTGACACTTTTAGCATTATGAAAGGAAAAGAGTACCATGGCCAAAGTTTCTATTTTTAAAACATATTGACTGCAAAAACAACACCTGTCCATCACTGAGAAATTCATCTAAGATGTGCAGAATTTTGCATGTGAATTATTGCCTTTTTTTTTTTCTTTAAGACTTCACGCACACAGTTGTAAAAAGAGCAGCAAAATTAGAGAAAAGCTTTTTTTTTTTTGAGGATGTTTGAAAACCAGCCTTGTAAAGAAGAACCAACTAAAATGGTCCCCAATATAATATAAAGGTATGAAAGATGGAGTTCTACAAAACTTAGAAGGTAGAAGTCACAACTAAATGTTCTGAATGACAGTTGTGAAAAATATGTTACACATCAGCACAAACATTAAGTATAACAATAATTTTCAAAGAATCTAACAATCCCTTACCTCCAATTTTTTGCCAAAAGGAATAAATCCAATTCAACTTTAGTACTTAAACATATTTCCAAGTCCATTGTGACAAAAACATTAACTTGAATAGATGAAGGGACAAGAAAGAAGGACTAACCAACAGAATAACTTAAAGCAACTCAAAGCGAAAAACTCGGAAGGGCACATGCAGCTGAAACAGAAGACAGAGAAGATGGTGAAGAAAAATGTTGACAAGGTAGCAGTGCTCAAAAAGACTTGGTTTCACAGAGCTCTAGGAAGGCTCACTTACAATGGTTCTAAATTGACAGTACCTCCCCCATCAAAGGCTCTGTTAATGAAGGAGAACATTATTTTTCAGAATTATTACTTGCTTCCTGTACCTTTATTCTAGCATAATAGTAATACAAAAGGACTCAAAGTTATATTGATAACATCCTTAGTAATTATACTGAAAAAACTATCTGAAGCATCAGCGTTTAATCAGTGCTTACCTACAAAAGGATCCAAAAGCATTTGTGACTCACAGAAGGAAGTGGCACAACAGAGGATCAAATTTTAGCAGTCACTTCGTTAACAGAAAATTACCTCAAACAAACTCAATCTTGCTTTGTATTATAGTATCTTGAAAGAGCAAAGTGTCACATTCTTTACATGTTTAATATTGTTAGCTATTCCCTGACATGCTGTGGCTAGAAGCTTTTTTTCTCCCCAATTCAACAGCAGGTCAATTACAAATTTGCTCATGCATGCAAGACTCTAAAAGATTTTAAAACCTGGTTTTCTAGAACACGGAAAAGAAAATCAGTACCTAAAGGTCTTTGGCTTTTTATCTGAATATATTTGATTAATACTGCTCAAAAAAAAAAAAAGGATATTAAAGAGGAAAAAAAAAAAAGGCATGACATCAGCAATCCTGTCAATTGTTTTTCTACTGAGGCCACTGTCTCTGTAGAATTAAGTCCAACCAAAAAGCTTTACTCTCACCATGTATCAGTTATTTTACCAGGCAGGTCCAGCCATTGCACTGATCTTGCTTGAACCCTTAGTGCTGCCAGTTCTTGGCCTGACCCTATTTTTCTCATCACAGGACCTTTACAATTCACTGGGCTTGGATGACAATGGCTACTGGTACATTCACAGCCCTGACTTTCATACACTATGAACTTGCCTGGAAACAGCACAGCAGGCCTAATCCAGTCATTCAGCAACAAAACCAGACATCCCCAGCTAGAGGAGGAACATATAAAATCCCCATTTCCTAACCTGTGTTACCTACACACTTAGATTTCCTTTCACAGCTCCATGTGCTGAGGACATTTTCCATAGACAACTTTTTCAGGTCACATCATAAAGCTCAGTCTGCCAGCCAGACCTCACATCTTGTCCACAAAACTTATAGTTTGAGAAAATAAAAATTAATATAATTGATAATAAGGCAAAATGCATGGGATCAATGGTTAGTAGGACCTAAACAGTGATCAGTTTACTTGAAGTTGGGATGTAGGTTTTTTCCTGTTCTTTGATCTGAAAAAGCAAGAAAAATCCAGTTTTGCAAAAATGCCAAGAATTTTTCAGTTCTGCTATTTTTCCTCCTCCTTTCTTCCTGTTAAGTTCTATTATATGCTGCTTAGTAATTGAGAAAAGAAACAGATTGTGCCATGAAAGCTGATCCTCTGCTGGACGATTATAGCAATTCTGGTTCTACTTCACTGCTGGTGGAACAGTGCTGAGTCACTTGGAAGCCACACAATATGTTCACTCCTAGACCACCACAGGCACAGTCTTTCTGTGTGAAAACCACCGAGCCTTGAAACTGAAGCACTTGTTATATTTATCAGAGCTACACTCCTCAACACCTCTGGTCTTACTCGTGTTTTCATATTTTGAGGCATCAAATGATGATCTGATAATATGCTACTGAAACATATAATGGTTATCTTTTCATTATGCCACTTTGCCTTAAACTATATAACAATTTGAGCATGTTCCAACTCCCCACTTTACCTTCTCAGTTATTTTATATTCCTATCAAGATTTCAATTCTTTAAAGTATTGACACAACACATTCTGAACTTCCTTGATAGCAGAAGTTCAAATTGCAGCAGACGAATAATCCTTTGGTCAACATCTGACAAATGCTATTTTGTGACTCTGATAGGTAGCAGAAATATTAAAAATATTAACCTAGCCACCTAGCCCATCAATCATTTCCCAGACTTTGCCAAGCTACCTGCACTGGTGTGTTTTGGCTGTGTGTGTTTTTTTTTTAATGAGAGAAAAGAACTCATCAGCAACCTCTGCACATGGTGCAGATCTCCGGGTACAACTGCATGCATTGCCAGAAGACCATTTCAGCAGAACTCATCTTTCTAAGACCCAGAAAGTAAAAAAAGGTGAATACAGGTTTTAGGACTCTGTCCTTTATGCTAGCAACAGCCTTAACTGCATCCATTCTAGATGCATTTGCCATAGCTACAGTTCACAGGGATCACAGGAGCAGCAGTCTGGCAGAGCTGTGACTGAGATAAGGTATCTAAGGGATCTCATCTCTCTACAGTGCTGCAGCTTTTCCTTTGGTCACACAAATATCTTTATTTATCTAAAAGCCTAAGGTGAGCAATTCATCATGTAGCTTATGTGCCAAGTGTGACACAAGTGGCTCTGTGGGATGGAAGATGATCAGTAGCTAGGCTGAAAGAGGAGGGTATCTGTGAATTCAGTGATGGGCTAAGTATTACCCTAGATTACTTTCCACCCTCAAAGGCACAGGAATCACCAAAAGGGGAGTCAAAGAGCTGTCAACTCAAACAGATATAGTGTTCCTCCAGAGAAAGATAAAAGTTCAGCTGTAGGACTGGCAGAAAAGCAGCTTGTGTTTGTTGCCACTCAGAAATTGTGTAAATATGGACTTAATGGCATTCTGTAACGTCATTAAAGGTGGTACACCACATATAACCTATGAGAGAAGAATGAAGGTGTTAGGAAGTTATATTTTACTGCATATGGTTATCTTGAAAGACATAACACAATGGAGCTGCGAACTTCAGCTCTGTGTGTCAAATCTCTGCTTTTTTCGCACTGGTAACAAGCACACCACTGAAATACAGCGGCCACATTGGGCACCACATATCAATCAGGTAAGGCACGTGCTACTGAAAGGGGTCCAAAGGAGAAAAATCAAGAATGATCAAAGGTTTAAAATGAACTTAATTCAGCCCAGAAAAGATTCAGATTATACAACTTTGCAGAAATTGCTCAGTCCATAGATCCAGTGAAGTTTCGTCAGCTGAGTGTCTGTCCAGACAGATGCAAGTATCATTCCTGATACAAGGCAAAAAGAGGCAGATGATGCGCTATCACCAAACTACTTAGTTGTTGGTTGGGTTGTTTGGTTTGTTTTTTAGACAGTCTACTTGCAGTATAAGGCTTACAGTTCTTGCAGGCTTGTAGTGTAAGATTTACAGTTCAGATGTGACTTGACAAGGTAAAAAAATTCTTTGTTGTAGAACAAAAGAGGCAAAAGGAGAGCATTTCGGTATCACAGCATCACAATATTATAGGGGAATGGCACTCAGGGCTGTACTCTGGAGTATCAGCATTGCCTAAGGAATCTATCTTGAGACAGAAAGAAGCTTTCAATGCTAAGTGTAGACAAAGCAGGTGCTTCATTATAACTCCCCAGAGATCACAGAATGTCTAGTTCCTTCAAAGGTATGCTCCTTTAGCCCAATCATAAGGGCCCTTCCACCACTTAAGGAAGAGTACAGAAAATAGTAGGGATTTTGGACTACAAACACAGTAAATCAGATTAACTTTCATTCTTAATAGGTTTCTTAAACATGCCACAGTCTTATTTTTCTTCAGAATACCCCTACCTGAGAATGCCATAAACACTGTTACTTTCTGTGAAAAATACTTGATGTATGGACTATGAAATAGTTCAATAATAAAACAAATTAATCCAAAAAAAGCTTGCTAGAAGTTTCTTTCTATATGCAACACATACAGAAACATATACAATATGTATGCAACACAAAAAAAATTTTTTTTTTAATTAAACAGAGGCAAAATCCCTATAATAGGCAACAAGGTAAAGCCTTAAATAAAAATACCCTAGCTGCAGCATGTACTGCAACACTGGATGGTAATTCTGTTCCTTAGAAAAGAATATAATGTTGATTATGCTTTTCCATTTCATCTCATGCAAGCAGAGTTTTGATGTCTATATATTGGGGTTTTGCCCTTTTTTTTCTGGACATTTCAGATAATAAACCTACAATGTTCCATTCTCCCCAGGTAAATTCATTACTAATTAGTCAAACAGCTAAAAAGATCAGGCTGCTTTGCATAATATTTAATTAGTTTTAATTATCTATTAAATAAAAATGCTTAAAATGTGGTAAATTAAGACCACATCCCATGAGCCACAGAGGCTTAAGCAGTTTGTCACTAACCAATTCTTGCATCAACCACTTGGGCTGTCAAATACACACTATCACATTCTAAAGATTTTCAAATTTATTACCTAGAGACAAACAGCATTTGCAGTGAAGCTCCAAAACTAAGATATGACTGTTATCAGCTTTTATTCTTTCTGCCTATTCATACACTCTTAGCAATAAATGACCACCCCAGCACCTTCAACAGAATAAAAATAAACCAGCAAGAGAAGCATATGCTAAACAGTTTTGTTGGGATTCCTGGCATTTTGCAGGAGGGCCAGACTCTCCTTGTAACACTGCAAACTTCTTGCACACACAGTACTTCCTGGAATGGGAACAAGGCCTACTACATGTTGCATAAAGAGCTGCATCCTTTTGCTTGTTTTGAACCTTTCTCCTACTAATTAGCCTGTAGTTGCTGTACAGCAAGTACTCAACTCCCTCTCCATGCCATTTAATGACTTTGTAGGTCCCTGTCAATACTTTTGACCTCAGTCATCTCTTTTTCAGTTTTGGCCTCCTCAGTAATTCCTCACGCAGAAGCAAGACATCTCTTCAGGCCCGCTACTCTTCTCTGAAGATTATGCAGTTACAATGTATCCTTTTCTGTATGAAGCGACCAGAACCACAGGTTTTCATCCTCTGTTGCCTTCCCCCAGGTGCTGTAGCAATTTAGTGGTGCTAGAAACAGTAGCAGAAACATGCAACTTTCATCTTATTGGCTTTCAAACTTTTAAAAGAAAGAAGTAGTATAACTGGCTCGGACTAACCAATAATTATAACTCAATGTTACCTGTTAGTACTAATTTAACATCAAGATCAACAATAAGTCTATTTTAACAAGCAGACTGTAAGAAGAATGTTTAGCAAAAGTCATGGCCTCACGCTTTTAAAAGACAGTTACAAATCATTAGTACACCTTTTAATTAGAGAAGAATTATTTTCACAGAAATATGATTTTATGTACTTCGAGGCAAGGACTCAGCAGATTTCTTATAGAATAACAAAATACATCTTAGGGCTGTATTTGATATGCACAATTAAGCAACCCAAATGCTGTTAGCTGAATGCGCTAACAATTATGCCTTGCTAATAAAGAGAGCAAGGACCTGTTCCTCTTTTAAGTGCATATAAGTCTAATGTCTCTGTCAGTTAACAGGCCAAAATTCTGAACCAGAAACAGTTACTACAATTAGAACTAGGATGCAGAACACCAAGCACTTAGGATTTGCATTCTCAACTGCCAAAAAATGCACTTGTGTGCAGCTGTCATTTGTATTTATTGTATGACTAACCCTTGTAACCTCCCTTCTTACCACCATCTTTGCTTATCCATTCCTGGTCCTTTGTATAATACATATTCATGCTCCTAAGAGTACTTGATCCTTACTGATGTCAAAACAACATTTGCACAAGTGAAGTGATACCAATAAACTTCACTTTCCTACTTGCTCAGCTTGCCGTTTTTCCAGGCATGTACTTAAAGAACACTTGTGACTTACACTCAAACATCATGTATTTCACATTTGTTCAGTAAGGGCTCTCTAATTATAAACAATTGGGGTAAATTCCTGAGGAGGAGATTGGCAAGCTTCCACTGACTGGTGGGATGTTATCATTTTTAGATATGGAAGGTGTTGAGAACGTGTTGTGTATGAGATCAGCACTTATTTCTTGAACTCAAAGAGAAAGCCTAATATCACTATAAAAAGAAATTATCTGTTACTCCCCAAAAAAGGCTGTGGTGCTAAAAGAAGCTGCAGTATGCTGTGTTCTGAAAGCCTCAGCTTGAAGTTGTTGCTCTTCTCAGTTATATGCACCTCATCTGTGATTTTAAATAAAAATTATAGACATTTTAATCAAACATTTTGATGCTCTGGAACCTCACTCCCTTTTTATCTTAGTTAGCATTATGCCTGAGACAGAAGCAGTCCTAGATGTGCAGGTGGATACCTCTTGCAGGGCACAGCCCAGCAAACAGCACTGAACTGAACATGCTGCTGACACCCAACTCTTTCTTCCAGCTGCTTGTTTGTTCAGTGGCACTGAAGATTTAACTGTGCCGGCACAGCATTTGTGCAAACAAGATCCAAGGAGTGGATCCAAGGACAAATAACTCCACCAGAGTTTTGGGGGTTTTTAAAAATTCAGATCAGTTCCCTGATGTCAGCCACTGAGCAACCACATAAACCTTTCTGCTGGCATGGCACAGGGAAAACCCGTTGCTATAGCCCTAAGAGTGGCGAAAAGCACAGCCAATGCTACTTGCCACTTCGAATCATTCACATTCAGGCGATATTACAGCTGTTAACTAGCTTTCCTTTTGAAGCCTGTACAAGACAGCCTGCCAGATGCAGCAATTCAAGAAGTCAGATTTCCAAGACTCTAAGGGATGAAAAAATAGTCACTACATACAGTATAGCATATACATGCAAACATGATTAGTTGCAGCAGTGTATGAATTAACTAATGACCACAAAGTGAAAGATTCCATCCACCCCTTGGTAACAAAGTAGGAAACTTTTCAGAACAACTGGGAGCAACACAGTATCACTGCGACAGTCATCAGGGTGAGATGCCTGCTTTTGATTAGTTGCCAGTACTAAAATCCCAAAGCCAAACCAGGACCTTCCCCTCCTTTCTGGAATCACAAAAGTCAGTCAATCTGCTACTGAACTTGGAAAATTAAGGTTTGCCAAACAAGAGTGAAATGAAAAACGAGAAACACCGATCACACTCCAAGCTGCCCTTTAGAACAGGATTCAGTTGCACTCAGCCTATCAAGTGCCGCCTTCACCTCATCATGCAGGAGAACCACACAGGAAAACATCTTAAACTCAGGGAACAGCAGGTAAGAGTAGCTAATGAACTGCAATTAAGGCACGCTCTGAAATGCAGATAGTACACTTTATAATTAGTTTAACCCCCATGGCTGGGATCCGTCGGAGCTCTCGACACGCGCCCTCCCTCCACAGCCCCAGCCCCGCACCCCGGGGCAGGGCAAGGCCAGGCGGTGGCACCGCACCCCCTCCAGCCCCGCACCGTCCCCGTGCCCTTCCCGCCTCGCTTCCCCAGCTCGAGGCTGCCCCGGTGCTGTCCCCAGGAGTGTCCCGAGCCAGGCCGTGCGGACTCAGCGCCGGGCGGGCGGGCGCCCCGGGCCCGGAGGGACGCCTACCTTCACTGCTACTTCCGGGGCCGCATCGACGGGCAGTGCCGGGGGCGCGGCGGGCGGCGGGCGGAGGTGCAGCACGGCGTCGCGGCTAGGGAGCACGGCGGCAGAGCTCTGGGAGCCGCCCTCGGCCTCGGGCTCCGAGTCCGGCTCCGAGTCGGAGCCGCCGTAGGAGGCGAGCGCGGCGATCGCCGCCGACATCTTGGCGCGGAGGATGACGGGACGGGCAGGTCCTGGCAGCTCCGCGGGGCTCGTCGCATTCCTTCCCCCGCAGAACGAGTCGGCTGTGGCTGCGCGTTAAAAATGCGGGCCGTTAAAGCAGAAAACACACTCTAAAAGGCAATTTATGGTTCGTTACTGGATATACAGGCGCTTGAAGGGAGATCATCTCCCTTGGCTGCTGCTGGTGCTTAACCTTTCAGGACTCCCAGGCAGGACTACAAGCTCCAGCATGCAACGCGGCGCGGCTCTTCAGGGCTTTCCCCCCAGCGCTGGACTGCGCTTTGCGTGGCGACAAGGGAAAACATTCAACAGCCTAGGGAGAGCTCCCGCCTCCTCCCGCACACAGAGGGTTTTCGCCGCCTGCCCAGCATAGCCCCGGGGAGAGAGGGGGCGGGGAGGAGAGCCCGGCGACACAGAACCCCCACGCTCCCACCGCCGCGGCCCCGCGCCGTGCCCCGGGGAGCCCCACCCCCCGGCGCCGATTAGCCGCCGGCACCCGGCTTCGGTTACGTCACAGCGACGGGGCCCCGCCTCCCCGACCGGGGAGAGGGAGCCCGGCGGGCCGGACTGTACCACCTGCCCGCCCGCGGGGTGGGGGGCGGCGGCGCGTGGACCAGCCCGAGCATCGGGCGGTGGGGGGGGGGGACACGGCCGGGTCCGGCCGCCGGGTAAACAGCGCTCCCCCCCCTTCCCGGCTCGGCGCGCCAGGCGAGGCCCCGCCCCCCGCGCGCGCTCACACACACACACAGACACACGCACACACACACGCACGGGGACACGCGCGCGCTGCCCGGTGTCTATTGTGAAGCCGCCGGGGACGCTCCGCGCCCGCCGCCGCCGCCCCCCGGCACGCGGGGCCGCCCGCCGGGAATGGCCGGCGCCGCGTGAACTTCCAGCGCCCCGGCGGCCGCGGAGGGAGGGGCTGAGGCTGAGGGCGAGCGGCGTGAAGGTGCGAGGCGAGGGCAGGCGAGTAAGTGCCCCCCCCCCCCCCACCCCAGCCCCTGCTCCCCTCTTCCCTCGCAGTGCCCCGGGGCGGGCGGGAGGGACCGATCCCCGGTCCCCATCCCCATCCCCAGTGGAGCTGTTGGACGCGCCTGCCCCACAAAGGGACCGGCGCTCGCCAGGTGTTGGCCCCCTCCCCTTTGTCCGCGCCCGCGCGGGGGGCGGCGGCGGCAGGGAGGGATGGAGAGAGAGAGGGAGGGAGGAAAGGAAGTAGGGAAAGCGCGTCGCGGAGCCCCCTTTCCCCTGTCTCCCTGCCGCCCCCGCGGGTAGGGGCAGGAGGGGGGCGTGTTGCGAGGCGGAGGAGGGGAGGGGGCCGCACTTGTGCCGGAGCGCGGGGCTTCCCTGTCGCCGCCCCTCTCCCTGTCCTGGCCGCCCCGCGTGCCCGCTCCCGGCGGGATCGCCCCGCGGGGAAGGTGCGGCGCTCGGGGCCGGGGTCGGCGGCGGGCGGGGGGCGGGGTGACGTCACCGCCGCCAGGTGCGGGAGCGGCGCCCCCTGCCCTGCCCTGCCCTCCCCTCCCATCCCGGGGAACGCGGCCCTGCCGCGGGCACCGCGGCTGGCGGGGCAGCGGAGCGGGCGGGCGGGCGGCGGGCTCTCCGGCCGGAGCGGAGTGGGATTCGATCCGATCGCAGATCGGGCAGAGCTGCCCGCTGGAACACTGCTACCATTGTTAGGCGCGCTCGGGGATCGCGGGGGATGGCCGGGAGCGAGGAGAAGCACGTAGGTTCCAACTTCTCCCGGCCCGCTCCGGAACGCCTTCCTTCCCGCGCGCCCGCGGACAGGATGAATGGGAAGTGCGGAGTCGCTGACCGAGGGCTGGATGTATCGCCGGGTCCGTGCGTTGCACGCGCTTGCACCTGGAGCGGTACACTGCCGTGACTTCCCTTGGAGCTGCATGTGCTTTCAGAATTAAAGTGAGCACACAGTGACATCTAATTGTGACACAGTGGCATTTAATCTGATTAAATGGTCTAGTTTGGTTTTTCCACCCTTTTCAGCAGTTACGGTTTGAAGCATTTGTTTCCTTTGCTTGAGAAGATATCACTTGGATGTTTTTGCTCAAGGATAAAGTAGATGTAGAGGACATATAGAAAGTGTTCATAGTGTGGAGTGGTGCACGGTGCTGCGTTTAGATCTGTTGTATTAAACAAAAGCATGCCTCTTCTTTGTATGCTGGAATCAGGGTTTTAGGTAAAAGTCCCACTTTTTCAGCACTGAAACCTTTTGTTTGCATCTCCAACAGCTGAAATATACTACATTTAACTAGCATTTCATATGGTAATGAGTTGACTTTTTCACCTTAAATCTATGGATGATGAGTCCCTAAGTAAGGAAAGCTATATGACACTTCAAATGAATCACTGCTTATTGATAACAAAAATGGTTCTTCCACTGCAGTCAGTTTGTTTATTGGCAGTAATTGTTAACTGATTCCATATAACTGCGTTTCTTTTTCTCTTGGCATGCAGATCCTGGGTATTTTCTGAAGTTGAAAGGTGTGCTTCCTGAAAAGTAAAAAATTTTGAGATCTGTTTGTGCAGCCAGTCTGTGATATTCTGTCTGGAGAACTGTGTTGAAAATCATTAAACTAATTGTGCTTTGTTAACCTTGAATTTTAAATTTTTAATTCATGAAGCTTTGGTAGTTTGCTTAAGTCTGTTGGCCTGTGTTTTGTCCAGACACTCTAGATTGCTTGCCAGTAATGTAATCATCTGGGATTCTAGATGCTTTCATAGTAGAACTTACGAAAATCACTTACTGGTTTAAATTAGTTGCATTTCTGGTGCCATCAGGCTAGTATATAAGCAAACATGTGAGAAGGCATTCAGTGGAATACTGACTGAAGTTTCTTGTTGCTTAAATGGTAGCAAAGATTAATTTTCAGCAAGCACACAGATGTCACTTTTGGGTTTGAAAAACTGACTTGACTATACTTTAAAAATGTGGATGGATAATATTACGTGGTTATCTAAAATCTGGTTTTGTCAAAAAAGCTGAGAAATTGCTGCTGGTCATTTGTGGAGAGATATGTTAACACATTGGCTATTAACTGCATATTTGTGATTTCAAGAGGGGATAGATTGGTGTGAAAGAAACTACAAGATTTTTTAAAAAGGTCTGCTCATTGATTACTGTATGTGTGTGTGGTTACTGTATGCTGTATGTTCTCTCTTAAGTGGGTTCCACAAAATATATTATGTTACGCGTTGGATGCTGCTGGTTCTGAAGGCAGACTGAAGTAGTGGGTGGAAGGTGGTTTGGGTTACTTGGCTTTGCTTTCCATCCAGCTTTCTCACTGCTGTTTTTGCTTGCAGTCACTTTGCTTCTCTTGCTTTGGTTTTCCAAAGGAAGATAAAAACATCCCACTTGGTACAGCACTTTTGCATATAAAGAGGGCATTTTTGGCACCTGTTTGTTATTACTCCTAGTGGTGAATACAATACCAAGTATTACCGTGCCTATTCCCCTGGACACTCGTAGCATCTTGATTTCATGAACCTATCATTTCCTTAAACAGTTACCTTTGAGAATTCTACTTCTGTGTCAAATTTGGATGGATTCAACCAGTCAGTTTCCAAGTGGAGGAACACCCACCAAACACCTCTCCCCGCCCCAAACTTCCTGTATGAAATTGATTTCCTTAACAATCTGGGCTTAAATATATTAAGTTTTAACTCAAATTTCACAAATTTTCCTTCACATCAGTCTCTTTCTTCCCTGTAGTTGATAATGAAATCTATTTCCCTCTGCTTTTAATATATTTTATCCTACTTTCTTTTCCCTTTGCTTGCTCTTTCATAGCTCTTTTTTTGTTGCTTTCTGGGATGGAGGTGCTTTATCTCACACCCTGTGTTTTCCCTTGGTTTTTCTTCCCCACAGAAAATGATGCATATAATCCTGCTTATTCTATTTTTTTCTCTATATATGTTTTTTTTCAGTCTTACATTGCTATCAGCCTACTTGCAGATACACTCACTTCTCATCCACCAAGATCTGTAAGTCTGCAGTTTGGAGGAAAGGGTAAAAAAAAACACATGATACTTCTCAGGCGGAGGATTGAATTAAAATATGAGTGTCTATTGTCTGTGGGAAATAGGGTGTTTGAAAGAAAATGAGGTTTTTTTTTTTTTTTGTTCATATACTTCTGGCTGCTGAGAAAAGGTATCACGATGGAAGTCTTATCAGGTTACTGTTACTGCATTTGGATTGGGCCTTTTTATAACTACCTTGCTTGTTTGTGTGGTGCATCTTAGTATACTCAAGTTTGGCTGCTTTGGAGAGTGAAGCACCTTTTATAACTCCTGTTCAGCTTTTTCTAGTGCCTTGGGGCCTCTGACTGCTGTCAGGGTGATAGGACCTCTTTTCCAGTTTTTGTGTTTTTGGACTATGTCCCGGATTCTGAAAGATACCAAGGCGCCAGATTGCAATAAGAGTTCTGTGTTCCAGTACATCTGTGAATCAGTCTCTTTAGGTTTCTTGGGAGGGATCTTGAGGTCGTCTGACACAAATTACAGGCTATATATCTCATGTTTACAAGGTGTGGTTTCACAGAAAGAAAGATACAGGATAGGACTGAAGCAACTTAGACTAGTGGTACTTATTTCAGATGACTGCAAACAAAGTAATTTTTTTTGCAGAACCACCTCTTCCCTAGAGGATGGAAGCTGTGCAGCCAGCCTCTTCAAACTACTCAAGTGCTTAGGCAGTGCTGTGAACTGCATCTTATAACACAAGCTGAACAAATGATGGGTCGGACAGGCAGCAGAACTAATTATAGACTTCCAGGAATATAAACATAATTATCATAATTATAAATTATCATATCTTTAATATTGGGTTTCTTAATTCTCTAAAAAAATTTTTTATCAGTTTAAGAGCAGAAAATGCCATCAAAAGTGTTTATGTTTCTGAAAATATATTATGTGCCTGTATTTTTGAGGGGGTGGGCAGCTAAATAAATAGCTTACTTATGCTATTCTGTTGGTGTGATAACTTACATTATACACACA